TCTACATTTTCTAAGCATAAGAAATAGCATTTTTTTCACAAGGTGAGTTCTGACTCGTCAAATCAGTTAGTCATACATTTTTCATTCGTATGCATTAATTAAACATTTGGCAGTCCTTTTTTATTTAATCCAAACTTTAAATAGAAAAAACCTTTTGAATAAATATGATTCATCTGTGGCTTCGTCATATTTGAGAAGAACATCCAAATAAACTATGCAAATGTATTTCACTGCTTTTCCTACATGCTCTTGGTTTCTCTATTCTCTCAAACGCTGTGACTTTTCACAGCCAATTAAGTAAAAGGTTACAGTATGGGCAGTGTGTTCTGTTGTGTTGCAAAGTGACTGAATTCCCCTGGTCAGTTTTTGCAACTTAAGGGCATTTTAACAAAGCTAACAGAGACAGTGAGCCAGAGGGAGATCATTTTAAATTTAACCAATTAGTTCCCGACCTCAGCAGGAAAAATAAAGACAATACATAGATATGTAAAGATAAGTACGGGTATCGCCCAACAAAGTCTGCATGGTGTTTGTATCAGAAGCAAAAAATCTGCAGATAGAGAGAGAGAGAGAGAGAGAGAGAGAGAGAGAGAGAGAGAGAGAGAGGGAGGACAGAGAGCTGAATGGTTGATTGTCATGCTGTCGAGTCTGAAAAGGGCAGGGCAGGTATTGTGATGCGAATGTGCTCAGATAGAGAGTGGGGGAAGTGTGTGTGTGTGTGTGTGTGTGTGTGTGTGTGTGTGTGTGTGTGTGTGTGTGTGTATAATGTAATCTACAGGGTGTGTCTCACCATATACCACCACTGATATTATTACCACTAGTGTAGCATAAATTAAATGATGCTGCATTGCTCTTACAACGCTAGCTCACAAACTATTAAATGTGAACCAATTGGAGGAAATACTTTCATAATTCAGCGACGTGTCCGGAAACTAGAGAAACCTGGGAATGTGATGTGATTATATTTGAGCTTTTTTTCATACCTCCTGAAAGGCATGAAATGGTGCACTCAGATTTTACTGGTGCAGGTTAGTTACCAGGTCGTTATTAGCAAGTAAAATTAACACTTAGGAATTGGACAAATATCCCTCCATTAAAATGTGGGAACAAGAAGCAACGTCTTTATTACTAAGTGGGGAAAAAAAGATAAGCGTTAAGATTTATACTGCTGCTGTTTCTTCATTGCTGCCGAGTTATTGTTTAATATTATTCTACTGTTCTTTCTTTGAGTTGTGTTTTTTGACATCATGGACCGTTTCACTCTCACTGCTCACGGAGCTTGTGTTAAACAGTATGATGACAATTAAAAGTAATTTAACTGAACTGAAAGTAAAGAAACTGACCACACTGGTTACTGTTGTTCCTCTAGCTTTTATTTCAGTTCCCTGTTTAAAGGTTTATATTTGTACTATTTAATTCTTTTATCTCTGAAGTTCTTTACTCATGTTTAAGTTAAATTTTATTGCAAGGGACTCGGGAGAGCACGGGAAATAGGGGTAAATTGATAGTATGTTAATATGTTGTATTAATGGTCAGGTGGGTGTGGGTTGAAAGCAAGGAGTTAAGGTTAGATGTACTGTATGTTTCTCTTTTTTTTCGGAGGAAACAGGCCTATGTGTGTGAATTAAAAGTCTGTTATATAGTATGCAACACACCTCAATCAAATATATAAAGACCTGCTGTCTTACAAAAGAATCAATCCCAGAGTTAAATTCCCTCTTCAAGATCACTTTACCTGTGTAATACAGCAGACACGGCAACGCCACCAAGAGCTCCAACCCCAGGATGCTGAGCAGCATGTAGGTGTGCACAGTCAGTGATAACTGTGCAGCCAGGACAACCAGCAGCAGAACATTACCTGCACACAAACATACAGAAATACACATTCATCCTTTAACGTTACTGCCATCTTGTGGAGAACACTGACCTCTACATGTGCCGTAAACGGATTCATCGTGGCCTGACAACGTGTGCAGTTATACCTGCAGAGTGTACGGTGAGCGGGAGGTGCTTCAGTCCCTGCATCTGTCTGTAGAAGCGTAGGTATCCTCTGCTCCTGGCCCGGTTGTGGTGCTGCTGCGCACACCCAGTGAACAGCAGCACCAGCACCCATAAACACACCTTCCCAAACAGAATTACACTGTCACCTCGCACATCACCCAAAATACTCGTACACACCTGCTCTTGGCCAAATTTCAACACACACATTACTGCCACACACACTGACAACACAACGAACACAACCTGAAACACAGGAGAGAGGACTGGGAGTGAGACATATTATTATTATTATTATCACACATAACAAAATTAAAATTAAAATATCCCTATGAGGGGCAAAGGGCAGATATGACGTAGTATCCAGATTACTTGAAAAGTACAGTCATGAAATTAAAGTTTCTGCAGCTACCAATTAGTTTCTTAATTAATGGATTAGGTGTTTTTTTGTATAAAATATCAGAAAAAAAAAAAAAGCCCTTCACAGTTTCCAGAGCACAAAGTTTTTAGCTTGTTTTGCTCAATAAAACGTCCAAAATGCAAAGATACTCAGTGAATAATGACATAAGACAGAGAAACATAGCAAATGCTCGCACTGGAGGAAATAGTTGTCTATACATTTTCTGTCAATCAACTAATTAATCAATTAACTAATCATTACAGCTCTAAATTACGACCACAATGGAAATAAATACATTTGTAATATTCTCTGCATTTATATATATATACACATTTATAGATAGATCAAATAGTACCATGATATCAAAATAAAATAAGAATAATCATCCTAAATTATTATTATTACCATTATATGGGTTTTTTTCAGATAAATCATAGTAATTTAGTTTCCCCAGCAAAATAACCCTCAAGAGCTGTGTGTGTGTGTTTGTGTGTGTGTGTGTGTGTTTGTAAATGTGTGTATATCATACATGCAGCAGAGACAGCAGGCCAGCATGGCAGGGTGTTGGTACAGTCTGAAACTCTCTCCTGATGGCAGAGTGGAGGGCGTCAGCAGAAATCAGAGGCCCGTCCACCAAAGAGTCTTCATCGAGGCTCCGTGACATATCTACTGAGGGGCCGGCCTGGTAAAATAAACAATCAATCAATAGAGACCAACTGGAAGGGAAAAAAATACACAGATTACCGATATGGTGGTCGATAACAAGGTGAATAATTTAACATACAAGATACATTGTCAAACAGTAAGAAAATAAAGAATAAATAGCTACATCAGCACTGTAAAATGATGACATATACGCCGATACCGCTACAATACCAATATGTCTGTGATAGGCCAATATCAGCCAATAGATATTGGTTATTAAGTTAAACAGTAGGCCTGTCTTCTGCACAATATATATATATATATGAATATAAATCGCAATGTGTCCAGGTGCAATATGCAAACCGCAGGTACTGATGAAGGTAAAAGCAGCATTATAATGAACTACTACTCTGGTCCACACATCTTGCTCTCCAAAATATAAGTTTGTTTGGTACAAATACCAACAAATTTCACATAATCATCAAGATTTTAATAGTTTTCTCAGTGAAAATCTAATGTGTGATGCACAGATGATCATTAATCACTATGATGCCATAACCATACTGCAGCCCTACTTAAATACAGATTAATTGTAATTGTAAATCTCTTTATTTTTATATACTTAAATATACATTTAAAATATTCTGTATCTACTATGTCACATTGACCCCAATTTCTACATCTTATCTACGCATACTGGTCTATGGTAATGTACTGTATGTATTATTATTATTATTATTATTATTTATTTTCTTTTTGACTGCATTTGACTGTTTTCCCTGCAGGAGGAACATATTTGTGACCAACGGTGATGTCAAACTAATCATCTTCTAGTAATAACTAATAAAATAAATCATTCATTCATTCAATAAAATCGATCCGAGCAGCATTAGATAATGAATGTGCTGAGAGAGAAACTATAAAAACAACAACAACAACAACAAAAAAACAGGAAACAGCTGATAAAACCACCAGATAACCGCTCACAGATGTCTTTTCTACTTAATGTGACAACTGTTCGGAGTTAAAGTCTCAGTAATCCGATCGTTTGTAGGAGATAAGTGCTCACAGACACACATTAAAGATAAACATTACTCACGTTGTTCTCTGTTATCTGTCTCTAACGTGAGCTCAACCTACAGCTAACGCACGCTAACCGCCAAAAACCGTTGACATGGCAACCGGTTAACGTTGAACGACGGGTACGTACTGTGTAAAGCGAAGGTCCCTTTGGCTCCATGTTGTTTTGATGTTTGTTTTTGACGCGTTTCTTGTAAACAATAAGTGGCATAAACAACAACAAACAAGCATTAGCTTTACGTGCTACAGAAGGGGCGAAGGTGTTTGGTGCACTTCCGGTTCCGGTTTCTGTTTGACTTTTGGTTCCTACCCCGTGATCTCACTGGTTCCACTCGTGTCTTAAACTCTTATTTCACAGCCAGACAATTCATATTTTATTCTTTTTTAGGTTAAACTTGTTTAATATATGTTGCTTTTATGTCTTTTATTATTATTTTTTTTATATTTTATATATATTGCTCACCCTTTTTGCTTTATATGGCGCATATTCCTATATAAATTATGTTTAATCATTCAGATGTTTTCCCCACCATTGTTTATATGTTGATATATTCTAGGATATTTTTGATAAGATAAGGTAAGATGCTCCTTTATTGATCCCCCGTAGGAGAAATTCAGTCAGAATGTGTAAAAAAGTACAACAAAGAATCACAAAATAAGGATATTATAAAATATAATAGAAAATATAAGACTATAATTAAATATATATTATATATATATATACACTACATGCAATAAAATAGTGTGCAAAATATCTTGAGCATCGTATAACAAAAAAAAAAACTGTACATGTGCAATTTAAAGTTAGTTTGAGACGATTAATTTCTCTTGTGGTGGATTTTAATTAAAGGAAAGTCAAGAGAAAAAACAGACAACATCCCATTTAAAATATTTTATTGATAAAACATACACTTGCTATAAAAGACAATGAGCTGAGCTCTCTATTCCTCTAAATAATGAAGCCGCTGTCAGGTGTCCAGATAGAGGCGATGACACAGAGAGGACAGAGACGTTCAGCTCAGACTCTGGGGAGGCAACACTTGTGATAGAGGCAGGCGAGGAGCGATTGGAGGACAACTGTGTACTGTCATAATACGGGAGGGGGGGCAATAATAATAATTAACATGGAAGCAGCAAATCACTTTGTGTCATTGGTTTAGCTCATGGGAAGGAGTGGAAGAGAATAGCAGGTTATAAGGAAAAGGCTGATCCATTTAAATGTTTTATTTTTTTGCTGGTATGGAACTGTTCTTCAAGTCAAATCACACACTGCATTCATACCTCTATACATGCATGATTTCATACACACACACACACACACACACACACACACACACACACACAATGTGCCGAGACCCTGAGGTCTGTGTGAGTGTGAAATACTCCTGCACATACTCTAGCCCTCGCATTCATTACATAAGGCACTGATTCGGATGCAGTCAGTCTATGAGAATAAACAATGGCTAAAACATCTTAAAGGGAAAACATTTAAAATTCAGATAACAAGTACAATTAATAACATGCGTTCTCATTCCTGTAAAATGAATTATAAAGAAAAAAAAGCTTGTGTAAGTTAGCCAGATGCCCAAAAAAATCAAAAAATATTATGATGATGTACAACATATAAGAGGAAAGTTATAGTTCAACCGTTGAGAAGATTAAAACCTACATCAAACTCACACTACTCCATCTGAGCAATACTCACAATAACTTATATATGTTCTTCTTTCATGCAAAACTGTAAACACAAAACCCCAAAAATGAACGAGAAGGTATGATGATGAGTAAGGCATTATAATGGTCAAGCTACTTCAGGTCATCCAACCCAAATCGCATCATTACGTCACACTCAAAGCGAGCGGAGTCACATGATCAGTGCAGAAGCGGAGGATGATGAATCAAGATTTTGATGTGTTGAAGACAGTAGTGTTAAGCTTTTTAGTGGAACATGTTAAAGTTGTGACGGAGCGGGTCTTTATTCTAGTGTCTTTACTGTGCTATCTATGGATGTGCAAAAGCTTAAACACACTGATTTCTTGATTAAATCCATGCTACACGTATTAAAAGAAGTGTATACACGTGTACAGTTAGGAAGCACACACACACACACTGTACTGTATGTGCACGTGATGTTGTGTCACATGTCGGTCCAGTTTCACTCTCAGTAACGTCCATAAAGCTGTTTGTGCATTTCAGGAAAACAGAATATAAAAGAATATATTCCACAACGGGATTCGAGGTTCAAGAACTCTTCTCCGCCCACTCGCTGACAGTGGAGGGGGGGGGTCCAGTTCAATGGAGGTCATCATAGTGTGGTGGGCTGACCTCTGCCTGCGTACAAACACAGGAAAATGTGTTAACAATAGTTCCTACATGAAACTGTTCACAAGGTCTGAGGATTATCTTTATATATTCGAGAGAAGTTTGGATATCTGTAAACCTCTAATAAAAAACCCATACCAAGACAATCTAGAAGAGAGGTTCTCAAACCGTTTTCATTAATCTACCCCCTTTTAAATATTTAAGAAACACCTATATATAGAGGTACAATACTCACTGCTCCATCAGTGTGATAAACTTAAATGCTTAAATGTTTAGATCACTAAATTAATGATCTTTTTAATAAGTTGCACTTACAATTCAGTAAGAAATATGGGATTGTGCTCCACTGAGGATCATTCTCAGTCACAGGGATTCAACTAGTATAATTATTTTAGGAATTATGCATGACATTTAAAACCTGTCAGTCAAGTACCCCCTGCAGTACTCCAAAGCACCCCTAGGGGTACTCAGATCCTCATTTGATAAACACTGATCTAGAAGGATCAATAACACTACAGGTAAGAGGGTTAATATGTATTTATGGGGTGAACTTTAAGGTTAGGACAGTTTAAATAATTTGTAATGTTTAGAATTAGGTTTAGATTAGAGAAGGGGTTGGAGAAGTTACATACTAAATGTATTGGTGAGGATTAAGATCAGTGGTAGAAGTACTGAAATAAAAGTAGCATTAACACTTTAAAATCTTGCACACACATCGTCTTTTTTAAGTAAATGAGTTTATGGAAGCTTCTTAGTCTCTGTGTCTATCTTTGTGTGTGCATCTGTTCTCACCCCGAGATGCAATATAGCACTCGTGACAGCTCAGCAGTCCATTACGGATCCGTACGTCAGTCCCTGCAGTGGCGTCACCCAGCTGCCCCTTACACACTCCACACTGAGGAAGAGAAACACTATTAACATTATACACAGAAAGGATAGTTTCAGATAAACTTTCAAATGGTTAAATATGTCTTAAAAACACTAACGATGAGGATTATCGATTATAAATAAAGTGTTTGCTTTTTACTCCTGAAATCAGCCACCTTTCTGTCTTTCTCTTTGCTACCTTGGAGATAATTGTGATGGAGTATGTGTGCTTTATTAAACATCTTAAAAACCTTTATACAGAAGCCAAATGCTGCCTCCGTGTAAAGTAAATAATGTATCAAGTGTGCATTTGTGTACTAGAATAATAAAGTACCTTGAAACACTGCATGTGGAAAAACAGTCCCAGTGTATCGATGATCATAGCAGCTCCTTTTCCCAGTGGTTGAGAACAACCAGAACACAGTCTCTTCCCACTAACACACCTACACACACAAGAGGAGGAGAAAAACAATTCTGATACAAGCTCTACTCTTCCCACATTAAAGCCTCTGCGCTCCATTAAACAGTGCTACCTAATTACCGAGGATTCTTTCAGACATGTTGTGTGCTAGCATCGTTACCTGCTGGGTGAGGGAGGCTGAGGGGCTGAAGGAGAGGACTGCTCTTTGCTTGTTACAGCATCATGTGATTCAGACCTGTGGTAGAACAAGACATATATACAGGTCTCAGTGAAGTCACATTGTTACTGTTTCTACATAAGAAAAGTAAAGAAAATGTGTATTTTTCAAGGTTAATATAAAAAATAAAATGATGCTTAACAAGTAGAACATGGTTCCCCATGAAAGAGTGGCTCAGAAATTATAGAATTATAAAAAATAGGTAAATATTGCTGTCCGACTCTCCACTTATTCTGCTGTTGCATTAGTAGTTTAATTGTAGCATTATATCATAATTGAGACTTGTGTTCACAGTGGCTGTTTTTTTATGAAAAGGTGCATAGTCTTACTTTAATTCATAGTTATTTCATACATTCATTTATATGCTAACATCATCAGATCAGCCTCTCTGAATGAAGAACATTACTTACTTACTACTTACTAATGTGAAATAAGAAAAATAACAAAAGACAGGAGCAACAAAAATGCAGCAATATGGGAAACTAAAGAGATTAACACACACTCAAAGCATCCTTAGCATACCTTTTAACGATATTTGACTGGTTTAGCTGAAGGTTGCGGTCCAGAGAGGACGTCTTCCACAGCTCCTGTTTTTTTGAAGGTTCACCATCACATGCTGAGTCTACAAAAATAGATCATAAAATAAAACTTTTGTCACAGAAACTCTGAGGAATACATGTCTGAACTGAGCTGTGGACACATCCTGCATATCGGTGTGTATTTCTCTGTGCATCTTACCCTGGAAGAAATGCAGTTTTGATGCATGTTGATCCTCGTTCCCTGTGGAGCTTCTTTGGCCGTTTTGCTGAAGGGGAACATTTCCTGCTTCTGTCCTGTTGCTTTCTGGAGCTGAAGAAGTCGTCCCCATCTGGACTGACTGCTGGTTTAACAAGCTGGTGGGATTGAGGGGCGTCACAGTCTCCTCTAGAATCCTTTTCTCCTGGAAGATTTACACACAATATAAAACATAACACATTAAACATACAAAATAAGCTAGTAATGCTTTTGATTTCATGTGTTCATCAGTGTGTGTGTGTGTATGTGTGTTTGTGTGTGTGTGTGTGTGTGTGTGTGATTGTACCTCTTCATGGTGTTTTCTCTCCTCCTCCTCCACCTCTAGCTGTGCTTTCTCCCACTCCTTCTTCAGCTTCTCCTGTTCTCTCTGGTATTGCTCCTGCAGAGGAACATTGCACACGTTAATCACTGTTTGCAGAACAAAGCACACATATAACACACACACACACACACATAAACACATACACATATATACATACAAACACACACATACAGTACATCCTGTGCCAGCACATTCATGGAGCCATGCACATAAACATCATTCCACCAGTGTACCTGTAGGAGGCGCTCCTGCTCTTGTTGCCAACTTTCCAGGCGTTTACGCTCCTCATTGGGGTCCCAGACCCAGTGATTAACACGTTTAGCCAAGTTCAACATGGGGGTCTCAATCTACCCAGACCCGACCAACATTTACACGAACACACACATGTATAAAGGACAGAAAGAGAGGAAAGGTGAGAGGACAAGTCTGACTACAGCGACTACAGTGACTACTGGAGACGAAGGGTCAGGACAGGGTCAAATTTAGGAATGAAGGAGAAACAGAAAAAAACAAGCTGAAGCTGAGCTGCCTGGAGATACTCACAGTCACACTGCTCTCCTCAAGACCCTCTGTGGCAAAGACAGAAACACACATACATCAAATTTACATCTGCTAAAAGAAATTATACAGAATATCTGCATGATGCTGTAAACTATATTTATTTGTAGTTACATTTTTGTTTGTTTGTTTTTACCTGTGACAGTGGGAGAATATTCTTGCATGCTGTTTGGTGACGTCGCTGGCTGAACCTTTTTTTCCACCACTGGTTTCTCAGATAACCCCATAGTACCATTGATCTGAAAGTACAATATTCAACTAAATGAGTAAAACATAACCTGGAAAGTGGATCTGTAATTCTTTTGTCTCTGTTTATATACACACGTTTATTAAAAAGTAATGGACCATGCTGGTGTTTTTGAGTTTTGTCGAAAGATTTACTCAGCGTCCCCAGAAATAAAAAGCAACTCTAATTCTTTCCTTTATCTTTTGTGTGTTTGTCTTAAAATTGTGTCAATTGCCACTGTTTTATTTACAGTATGTGTTTTGTGTTTAGTGCATGGTGGACGAATATTGGACTGGATACTGGAGGTTATTGTCCAAAATAAACCATAGTATATGGTAATAGTGTGTTTTTTCTTCAGGCAGTTGCTGGCTTCAGTCATCATGTAAATGCAATATTAAAATCAACGTGAAGAGAATGGAAACTTGTTTTACATAGGTCATCCATCGCTGTGAACAGCTGAAGAGTGTTTCAGGTTCATGTCTCTCCACTGAGAGGTTCAGCTTCTACCTTCTTTAAGACGACATTAAGTTCCCCTACAAAGATTAAACCCACAATAAAACCTTCTTATGGAGGTAAAAATGCAACATCTGTGCAGCACTGAATGTACTTTTTATTTCATTTTCTTAATGTCTTTTGTATGCTTTGTCTGAACTGTACATTGTGTTTATTGCTTTTGCAGTACAGCGCTGAAGATAAATTTCCCTGCAGGCACATTAAAGTAAATTCTCTTCTCTCTCATTTCGATTTGTGTTCTCACTTTGTGGCAATAAAGAGGAAAGAATGATTTCTTGGGGGAGAAATTCCTCTGTGTTGGTGTCAAGTACTTCCAAGACTGGAGTCAGCTGCTGAACTGCAACTTTTTAAGGCACCTAAACTCACAATATCCTTTTTTTAAGAGCAACCATGTTTGCTTTCAGTTTGTCTCCTGGGTTGATTTTCCACGGCTCACAAAACAGCTCATGAATGATTAGAATCAACAGCTGACTCTCATGTCTCAGTTGTCAAGGCTTTCCATGAACACTTGAATGCACAAGGTTGGAAAATACTTGAAAACATTCATACAAAAAAACATCTAAAAACCAATGCTATCCTTTTAAAAATGGTCAGGAGTAATGTGTATAATGCATTATTTTGTATTAAATGGACTAACCAACATTAACACGGGTATGGTCACTTATCATATTACCTGTCCATTGCTTTGGATATCCGGTTGATGTGGCTCAACAAGAGTCTGTGTGAGCTCTGTCACAATAGTTGTTGTGATGATACAGTTTCGGCCTCCAATCAGGGAGCTGATGACAGAGCCTGAAGACGCCGCCTCCTGATTGGTCGCAGCCTGCTCGGAGGGGAAATCTTTCTCCATCTGTTTGGAGGGAACTTCTTTGATCTCCTGTGGCAAGTGCTGAGCAGAGGTAGGCGGAGTGGAAACAGATAAATCCTCCGTCGCTTCTCCGTTCACTCGCACCAACCCGTCCATCTGAAGGGACACACGCAGAAAAGTCAGGATTAGAGGGAGAGTTTGGTTTTTAATGTTTTTCTCATTTAGTGAGTCACACAAACTCATATACTCTCATGTGTCTGAGGGGAATCTGAAGATAAAATTATAGCCTTGCCTAGCTAAGTTGATGTTGTGGCTCCTACCAAAACACATCTTCTAACCAAAAACCATTTTGATTTATAATTTTACTGTTTTCCCTCTTGGTACATTTGTCTTAATTACTGTCTTTAAAAATAAATACAAAATTCTCCCACTTACATTATTGTTTATCCACAGAATGATGGAAAATACAATGCAAACCAACACTTATTACAGAACATAGGAAATAAAATAACAGATAAAATGAAATAAAACCACAGATAAAAGGAGGGAGCATGAGCGGCAAGCAGAAGCCAAATATCTGGGAATTAGTATGTAACTATAAAATAACACATATCTGAATTCATCCAATGTGTAAAGAGAGTTTGTGTTTTGTTACCAGAGGTTTGATCTTGAAAGATTTCTTTGTCAATAGAGAAATGATACACATTAATATCTGAATCAGTTTGGAGAAGCACAAAGATGTATTTCTCCTTTTTGGAGGAGTTGATAGTTGTATAACTTCCTAAATACAACAGACCCCTCCTTAAATATAAACATGCGGTAAAGCGTTGAGGTGGAACAATGAAGTATCAGATGGTGCTGACGGGTACAACTGAGTGACATGGGAGCACTCACCTTGACAGGTTTGTGTCCAGACTGTGTGGTCCTGGGCTGGCAGTAGGGCTTGGCTGCCAGCAGGGGGACGGGTCTGGGTGACACAGATATAGGGGATGGGAGTGTGTGTACAGGCTGGGGGATGTGAGGCTGCACAATCTGAGGCGGTTTGGTTTGAGGCTTTGCATCTTCAGGAATCGGTTGTTTCTGTTGTGCGGTTGGAGACTCTTTCGGTTTGGACTGAGGTTCATGAAGGTGTAGTGACTGAGGTGGCACATTTTCTGAGCCTGTGACCGGGGTCATGGGACTGCCAGGTGTGGGGGAGCTGGAGGAAACTGAAAGTGACGTCTCCTGTTGAGCAGTTGTCTCTGTCTCCACCTCCTCAGGTTTGGTGGGCACCTGGTCCGTTATAACAGTTGGTTCTGGTTTGTGCCGAGGTTCTGATGTTTCAGAGTCATTAATAGGTGATGTCGTTTCGTGCTCTTTGTCTACCTGATTTGGTTCCTGTTTGGGTTTTGAAGTGGATCTGGGCAGTTTTAGGCTGTCCAGTGTTGCGTCACTGATTGTAAAGCGAAGAGCGTAACGCTGTAAAACCATGGCGGCCTCTTCTGGAGTCGCTGCATTCCTGTAAGCTTTACACAACTCTGCTTCTCTGCGCTCCCTAGAAAAGAAAAGTAAGTTAAAGCATTTGATGTCTAGGTATTGTTTTTGATATTGTATACTACTTATTGTACATTCTGTCTGAGAGATCAAGGGCTCAATATCATTCTTACTTCTCCTCCACGATCTCTCTGTAGGTCTTGATGCTTTTCCTTTTGCTGGCCTCACTTCTCTCATCTTTCATCCTTTTCTCCATCCTCTTCCTCTCTTCCTCTTTCTTGATCAGTTCTTGTGACGCACTGCGACGCCGATTCTTCCAGCGAGCCAGGTCCTGTCACAGGTTCACAGGTATATATAATATATACAGTATAATATAGGTCTTCTATTATTTAAATGGGCACTACATGCTCTCTTACTCTACTGAAATGAGTCTCTTACGTCTTGCCAGTGGTCCTCATCTTCCAGAAAGCTGCTGTACTGTTCATGCATGCGCTCATGTCGCGATTGGCTCAGTGGTGGTAAGTGTCCCACCTCTTCTTCATTGAGAATGTCACTCATGCTCACACTCCTATAGAGGAAAAAGACAATATAATCTTAGATAAGTTACTGAATCACTGGACCCAGCATATTCACTTTGTCCAACTTGGTTCTAGAAAACAGCAAATATTTCATTTTAAGCCATTCAGTGTTTACGTCAGTCACTTCAGTGACTATTTCAAACACAGAATTTAAAAGATATACACTGTAATTTAAACAAATGATACACATTCGATGATAAAAAAGGAACAAGGAGGAAGAAAAACCTGCCCCCCTTTTACAAAATGTATAAATGACATAAACAAAAATGGTCTGCCAGCAATTACAACCTATTTCTACAAGATATGATCACAAAGTAAGACATACATATACACAACCAGTAAAAGTCCACTAAACATAAATATTACATCATCCTTATTATTTCTCCTGTATATAGTGGATTTATAGTAGTTGTGTATGTGATGTCACACACCTACCACACTAATTAACCACACTAAACTAATCACAGAGCAAATAAACAGGCAACTGAACAAACATAACTAATTTATTTTGGCAAGCAAAACACATTAATGAAACTTAACAATAGTGTGTTAGTTGAGTAGTTATTATTAGTGTATACTGCAATGATTACATTCAACTGTTTTTAAACCAAAAAAGTGCAAATCAGAATCATATTAAAAGTAACTTTAAAGTAAAAAAAAACCTTGACGTTAGTAAAAATGTGATAATGAGAGAAATTAGAATAATGTAGTGTATATATTTCTGAACTTTACTCTTGAAATCAAACGTGCACAGCATTTAAATATTGTTATCATGCATAAGCTCATCCAGGTTCACGTCGAAAGACTTACTCAGTGTCCTCAGACATAAAAGCAACTCGCCGGCTCATCCTAAAACAATAACAGAATAAAGTGAATGAGAGGAAAGACTAGTGAGGGAATGGGTAGCAGGGTGTTATTGTCAGGCTTCACATCCCAGGGGGACATTTGGGAGGCTCTACTTAGGAACTTGCCATCATTGTAGCAAAAACAAACAAACAGTAGGCAGTAATCGTTTGGCTCTCGTTCAATCCCATTCTCCGATATTAAGTGAAATAAATACAGACTGGATGAATGGCAGAGCTAAAGCTGAGACGGGGAGAGACATGCAAAAAGGGTTCAACGGGCAGCTCACATCATGGGAGGCAGATCGTCATCCAGCCAGAAGGGTTTTTTCCGTGGTTCCTCATTCACATCCCTCTTTCTCTCCTCCACCCTTTCCTCAACTCTTTCCACCACACTCTGCTTTACCAACTCTGCCTCCACTTTACAAGTCGTGGCAGCAGCAGGATTGGGTGGAGGGGTGAGCGATGGAGAGGAGAGGGACTCAGTCACATCTGTGACTGAAGTGTTAGGGATTTTCATGTCTCCCTCTTGCTTTCCATCCTCCTCCTGCTTCTCCCTCAGCCCTGCACACTTAAGGAGGGTCGGGGCTTTGGACAGCAGGGTCTGAGGTTCTGCTGCCACAGTAACACTGCTGCTTAAATTCAGTAACAAAGCCAAGATTACCAGAGAAATACAGACTGAATCACAGAGAACAAAAGACAGCAGCTGATCTGCTCTCTGTTTGCTGCAACCTTGAACCATGTTGCACTTCTGAATACACCCCAGTAGTTAATGTCAAAATAGTGGTTTCTATCACAAAGAAAAATATCTGAGTGGGGAGCCAGAAACAGAAAGAGTCAGATCACCCAAATAACAAAAAATATATTTTCTACTTACATCTTAGAGTATCTAGTCATGCAGATAGTTTAGGTTTTAACTGCTGAGGTTGTGATATATCAGAAATGTCTCTATGATTTGTGCCTCCACCCAATAAAATGGAGGGGAAAAGAATTTTGTTTGTGGTGCTCAAACCGTCTGGATAATCCACAGATAATCCTCTGTGAGCAGCTTTCATTAGAAGTAATTTTACTGAAGAAATAGTCCCAATCAAAACTACTGACTATTACAGTAAGTTAACCAATTATCAAAATTGTTGACAAACAATTTTCTGCTTCTGACTGTTTCAGACTTATATATATATATATATATATATATATCTTGTGTGTATGGGGCTCTTGTAAATTAGCAAATAGCAAGACATATATCTAAAAACCTGGGAAATAAAACCAAAAATATCTACCTGACTTGATACCAATAACTGGAGGTAAGACCAAAAAAGTGCTTTTGGCAACCATTTATTTTGTTCTGTGATTTTCTACAGATTTTAAGTTAAAGTTTTAGAAAGAACAATGTAATTTGCTTATTATAGGACCAACAAATAGATTGTGGTACTAGTTTTATTAAATATATAGCACATGAACTGAACATCCAAAACTGTTGAATTCGTCTTAAGGCAAACATTTTGAGTTTTTAAGGCTCCAGCAATAAATGAAGAATGAATGAATATTTATTTGGGTTCATAATGAGCAGTTCTTACTAAGATATTTTTTTATACCAATAATTTGTACCAAAACTTGAAATTATTGTAATTTAAATTAATTAAAAGCTAAATTTATATTTTTATTTATTATTATGAAAGTTATTTGGTCAAACTGACCCAAGAATTTCAAATGCGAGAGAGTAGAGCAGCAGCTGTTTTGCTCCTCAGTGATTCAGCAGTAATTTACATTTTAAATACAAAGATAACAGCCAAATGCTCCATTCTCTGTAAGACCGGACAACCAACGTCATGCCAAACAAAACAACGATTAGACCTCAACAGCAACAAAAAAAGGCCAGATAACTCCAAACCAAGCACAAATTTTGCCAAGTCATATGAGAACCAAGAATTCAACCACAACAGCAAATCAAAGTCGACCAGTCCTTTCATATACAAGTAATACAAATGAAACCACATCAGGCATCCAGCTGCAGGCACTCACACATGCTAGTATGGAACCAAAACAACAACCCAGGCAATTTAAATAAACTATAAATCATCCACAGAGTTATTAATGTTAGTACTGCAGGCAATATTGTTGTCAACGTAATTAAACCTTCATCTTCGCCAGTAAAATATGCTTTGTTAGTTGCAGTAGTTGACCGACACCACAACCTCAAACACAGTAAATACCTTTCACTAGCCATCTTCTCTGTGAGTTTAGGTCTGCTGTGCAGTGGCTTCATTGGAGACACTGGGGCGACGGTATATTTAACTGATCCAGGTACCGGCAGGAACTGGTTGATGGACTGATTTGTTTTGACTGCACTCGGTTTGTGGAATGATCGGGTCCTTCGAGCCATCATATCATCCTTCTCCAGGTCAGGCACAGGCTCATTTTCATCATACTCATCCTCATCCTCATCATATTCACGTTCGCTGTGAGACATTGCTCGGACCACGGTCGTGGCAGGGTGTGGTTGAGGTGTTTCCATGGAAACTCTGGGTTGCTGTTGCTCCACTCTATGAGAGAAACTCCTATAATTCAAAATAACTAAACACCAAGCTGAAGAATTTCTTTGAGGATGCAAATCACACCAAGCGTATTAGTCCGTCCTCATAGTGTTAGACAGTTCCACACAAATCTCAGCCCACCTGACGCTCAGTATCTTGCTCCTGTCTGCCTGCACTTCCCTTTTGCTCCGCGGAGCAGCATCAGTGGTGACCTCCCCTGGTGTGCATCGTTTAGTGGCGGGCAGAGGCAGGAAACGGTTGTAAGTCACTGTGGCAGTGCTTTGTTTATGGAAAACTCCTGTCCTCCTCGCCATCATGTCATCCTTCTGAAGATCTGGGATCCTCTCCTCTTCCTCCTCATCCTCTTCCTCTGTTCTCCGTTCATACTGAGCCAGACGCGCATCCAGCTCAGCGGGAGTAGGAGCGGTTTCAGGGGTCCAGGGTGGGAGGTCAGCAGTGGGAGGGGTAGTTTGATTGAGGTCAGCTCCATCTACCTGGCTGTGAGAGCATCACATAAAGCTCAAACCGCAGCGACAACGATGGATAATTTGTACCCAAACTTGCCCAAACAAACATGAACATGCAGAAAAGCAGGTCACAGGTGGTCACTAAGAGTACAGAATACAGATAGTAAAGAAGAAAGAGTTTGAAACCAAAAGCCCTTTAGAGAGTGCCTTAGCAACAACTAAATATGGGTTAGAAAAAACATGCAAAACTAATGCAAATCTACAAAAAAACAACCTGCGATGACATTTTGAACCTCACCAAACACTATGACAATCAGAGTTGGTCTTACGTAGAACACTGAATGTTGTTTTGCATTAAAACATAACACAAACAAAATGTTTTATTAAGCACAGCCAAAATTTGGTTGCCAACTTACCAGTGCTCTCTCATCAACCACTTAATGGAAACACTGCTTAAAAACTACCTAAACATGATTGAGAATGTCTTGTTACTTTTTGTAACTTAACATGTATGCTGGTACTGATATATCTGTAATGAGTTCATTTCAGCCAGTATATCAGCCAGGCTTATTTATCTAGCTCTACTTGCCACAGCAACATGTACATGCATGTGTGTGTGTGTGTGTGTGTGTGTGTGTGTGTGTGTGTGTATGTTTCCTATTAAAACTACAAGCAAATCAGTTCAAGGCAGAGAGGTGCATCCAAACTACCTAATTTAATTCCAATAGGGCTTAAATGTAAAATAAGTTTTTGACAAGCAATTAAATTAAATGATTTAATAAATCATGTAATATAAAGGGACCTGTTTATTCCTTAATACAATCCACACTAATGCAAGAGACTTTGGATTCAAGCCACTACAGCCTACGTTGTCTCGTATTTGGCCTCGTGCGTACCTGCGTTCCCGCTCTGAAAGCTGGGAGCCCAGGCCAATGGTAGGCATGGCTACAGTTGCCTTGGAAAGGAGTCGTCTTAGCAACTCCGTCTCCTCCCCTTCATTTGACGTGACTGTGTCTATTGGCTGCTCGATCTCAGTCACACCCCCAAAGGTCACAACTTTGCTGTGACCTCGTCCAGCCTTTGCTGATCCGCTGAAAGGGCTTCCATAATTTTTCTCCAGACAAGCCTGACAAACAGGGGCCGGGCTAGCCTCACTGTAGATACAATCTCACAAATGAAGACAGCCATACGAACACAAACACACACACACAACAACAACAGCCAGCAAAAGAGAGAGAGAGAGCAGGGAGAAAGGAAAGAGGGTGGAAAAGAAATCATGAGCAACTAGACACAGAGAATGAGACTGTGAAGACAAAGGAAGGATGAGGTGGAAATTGTGAATCAGACAGGAAGTCTGGATGGACAGAAGAGAACAAAGCATGGGGTTGTGTACTTAAATCCCTTCACACATGTACATTCACACATACACACCAAGCATTTTATCCACTCTAGGTAGCCACATTTGGTCCTGATAACTGCTGCTCCTCTGGGAACACAAAAAACTCTTTATCCTATCTAATGACATCAGCACAGAGAGAGGAAAACAAAGCCGAAGCAGTGCTCGCGGCCAACAGTCGCCTCTCTTTTGGTCACACACGCACAGTCTCATACACACCGGCCAATTCCCTACACTGTTTCAATGCCTGTCAGAGAAGACTGAAGAGGACTGAAGTGCACAATAGTGAGGAGAATAAACAAGCAGATGAGAACATGGGGAGCAACAGAGAAAATGAAAGAAGGGAAACTAAATTTAAGGAGATATATAGCTGCTTACAAAGGGATACAAGAGTCTTACTGTAGAAGAGCTAAAAGTGAATATTGACAAGTAGACATGGAGGTATCTTTGGAGGTTTTTAAAGAAGTATTTCTGATTGTGACATTAACTTAAAGACAGATATAATGTTGATAATCTTTTTGATTTCTTGATTAATCATTTGATGTATAAAATGTGGAGAATTATTACAAATATTTTCTATTTATAATCATATAAAAGAGACAAAAGTAGCAAGCTCTCACATCTGAGCAGCTGGATCAATGGTTGTTTAACATGTTTGCTTATATTTGACTTAAAGTAACAGTTTTACATTTTGGGAAATACACTTATTTGCTCTCTTGTCGCAAGTTGAGTTAGAAGATCAACACCACTGTTTCTACACTAACTATGAAACTACAGCTAGGAGCCAGTTAAATCAGCTTAGCACAAAGACTGGAAACAGGGGTAACAGCTAGCTTGACTCAGCACCTCTGAAGCTCACTAATTAACGTATGTTTGTTTGTTTAATCCGTACAAAAAGTGTAAAAACAAGAACTTGCTGTTTTATGGAAGGTTATGTGCCAAACTATTTCTTGACTGACCCCAGAAAACAGTTATAGCAATAGTTCGGCCCAGAAAATGAAAAATTGTAATTTTTACATTCAATATTTCAGCTATACTCATTTGTGACTTGTGCTCTAGATATTTCAATATTCACTTATTATAAAACAAGTCTTTTATTTTATGATTTAACATATTTAGGGTTCACCATCCAGTCTTTAAAGTCTTAAATTGAGCATGTTGTGCCTTATTTCTTACAATATTCACTTATATAAGTTTATATATTATTTAGCATTATCTATATATATATATATAGATATATATATATATATTCATGTTATCTTTATTTTACTGACTTGTGTGCATGCCTGTAACAAAATAAGCAACTGTTGGTGCAATGATATTGGGATTTTAAAAACACTGACAGAGACACTTTGTGCTTTCAAATAATGTGCACTTTGTAGTGGTTAAGTGAGGATTAAACTTGGATGACATTACCAAATCCCCCACGTATTCAAGTCACTGTTCCTTAGGGTTTAAAAAATATTTAGTGAACTCAATTTGGGTTGTAACTTTATATGAAAGTCTCTGCAGATTACTGACCCTCTTCTTCTGCCTGCAATGATCTGCTTAGGACTGGAACTAAAACTAAGAAGCACACATACACACACACACACACACACACACACACACACACACACACATACAGCACAGTCAATATAAACCACACACTTGACACACAGCAGCATTTAAATGCTTTGTTCTGCATGTGTGCTGAATCAGAGTGTGTGTGTTGGGCACCTGGGTTCAGTCATCTTGAGTCTCTCCCACTTCTGCATGTCTGCCTGGCTCATGGAGGCAGAAACAAAGCTCATTGGGGCGTCCCTGTGGGGGAGGGGCCTACTCTGAGCCCGCCTCTGAGCCAGGTCATCCTTCTGCTTATTAGGTATCGCCTTAACCTTTCCCTCTTCCTCCTCTGCCTCCTCATCCTCCTCTTCCTCATGGCGAGGGATGGAGTTTAGGAAGGGGTTGTCTCTGCGTGTAATGATGTCAGGGACTGCTTCCTTCTCACTGTCCAATCACAGAGCCAGTACAGTGGCATCACACGGCACGCATTTCACATCAAAGTGCGGCACACACACACATACACACACAAACACACACACGTGTCAAACCACAAGTGACCACAACACCCAAAGAAAGAAAGAGCAGGAAATGGGAGAGAATATTTAGCAGCGAGTTAGAGAAAATGGAGGAAAAAACAGCATCACACACAAACATTCACTGGCTAACCTGATCTCCTTCTCCAGCAGCGTTTGCTGCGACGCTCGTCTAATGCCTTCCCAGCGCTCTCGGTCTTTGTCGCTACATACAGGTGGAGGGACAAACTGATGCACCTTGGGAGCAAGAGAGCCGCGATGAGCTCGTCTGGATGCCAGGTCATCTTTACGAACATCCGGAACTTTCCGCACCTCTGCCTCCTCTTCCCCATCAGAGGAGCAGTCCCACGCAGATTTCTGAGAGCTCAAAAAGTCATTATCGCAGCGAAGGATGATGTTCGGGGGCTCTGTCCTCACTTCTTGTTCTTCCATTGTGGGAGGGCTGGGGTTGGGAGACGGGACGGTGTGGCAAGGTCATTTCAGAGATTCATTAAAAATCCATCAGTGCATCTTGTGAGTAGAAGTAGCGACGTGCAAAGTTCGGATTTCGACATGCGGCTGCAAATAATACTGGCAAGGTCCCGTGGATTAGTCATAGTTCACACTGTGCGCTTCAAAAAATCTTTACACACCAACCATAGCTGACATGACATTAAATCAACCTCCCCATACTAAAAACACAAAAACGGAGCAAGCAGTTAGTCAGACCTGTTGACCAACACACAAAACTCATCACTCATAAGCCTTCTTGTTGCAACCAGATAGCTACACAAAACCAAAAGTCAAACCACAGCACCAGTGTGAATGGAGCACAGGGAAAAACAAAATTACCATCATAACGATCCGTTAGTGAACACGACCAAAACTGTAAAACCACAACAGCAGCAGCTCTCATGCCCCTCCTCCCTGACCTGCTGTAACGAACAGCAGCAGGCAGAACTTTAATCCCAGCCTTCTCCAACATCTGCAGCCTCTTCTGCTCCAGCACTTCCCGGGTCACCTGTTCCTCTTCCTGTTTGAGTGTTTCCCCATTGTTCTCAGGCGCCCAAGTGACAGTCTTGTGGGTTTTGTGTTGCAGACCAGTTCTTTTGCCCTGCTCTGCAGTGGCTTGAAGGTGACTGGGAAACGATGTGTAATGGCAGGGAAAGATTAGCTACGAGGAAGTTTGTGTGTCTTGTGTGATTTTTACCTTTTTCCTTCTGCTCAGTTTTTGTATTATCAACTGCAGCACTTAGAAACTTGCGTATAAAATCTACAATATGCATCTGAATGATTTCATGCACTGGTCGGTCATTACCTCCGCTGTTCTCCCTCCTCTGTGTGTGGTTTTCGCCGTGGAGTCGGGATATAGGAACTGGCGTTTGTTCGGTTGGGAAGAAACTGGTTAAAAGGAATGGAGCTTCTTGATTCACTGCTGGCCGTCCGTCTGGCCAACATGTCATCCTTCCGCACATCTGGCCTCCTGCCGGGGGCGTCAGCCTCCGAGTCACTACCTCGTCCTAGGAACCAAAGAGTGATGGAGCATAAAAGAGAAAAGAGTGAAGAAGGTTAGAAAGTATGTCAGGAACTATATTTAACTGGTCCTTGCATAACGACCTCTGCAAACCGTGTAAAACTCTCAAGCCACTGGCTCTACCAGTTTGTTTCATGTCAGTAAGGGTCATGTTCATGAAAAGGGACATCATCTTAAGTTTCAAGATGCTTTAGCATTTGAGACGTAGTGAAATCAGTTCTGTATTCATGAGGCTGCCGTTCTACCACCATAATACATTTGAAAAGACTGACAGGGAAGTTTTGTGTATCTCAAACAGCAATGACCTTTTCTATCCCACAATGATGTTTTATTGGGAGAGTAATTGTGGTCTCCGAATAGTCATACAAGATTTTATGTGTCCCTTTAGAAGGATATTTTCCTTTTATTACATCCCGTCTTATTTTCGCAGTTCCTGAATGTGGAAGGCAAGAAACACGAGCACTCAGATGCTCAAATTTATTTCTTTTTTTATTTTATATATATTATATAGTCATCACTTTTCTGATTGCCTGTTGTAGTACAGTGTACATAACAGAATAATATGATTCAAGTTGTAATAAGGAAGAATTACTCTTTAAATGTAACTGTAACACAATTTTGGGCAGTCAGTGACAAACACTGATAATTTCTCGACATGGTCATTGTCATAAATCTATAAAGTATTCTGCAAACAGACATGCAGACAGAATGGTACAAACTATATTTCCTGTCCATCCTTTCTTGTTGGGTAATAAATATTAGTTGGTAATGCTGCACACTTTGTCTGTGACCTCTAGGGAATGCAGGGAATGAATCTATTCCCGGCTCTGGAATAGTGTTTTTCTTGTCACCCTGCGGCACACATTTTAGACTGTCAACATAAAAGACACAAACAGGATGCCTGTGATACTCCCCTCAAACACACACACACACACACACACACACACACACACACACACACACACACACAGACGCAGACTGACATATGAAAGGCAGGATGTTGACCCCATTCTGTGTTTCCCAGGTCCAAATCTCTAGTGATTGCTACTTAGACCAACAGCTGGGTTTCACACACACACACACACACACACACACACACACACAGTGGCTGAGACGTTCAGCTGTTGTCCATGGCCTGACAGACTGGCCAAAACATACCAAGGTTAAACCCCAACATGTTAGAGAACAGCAGTCAGACTATTTATGGATGAGTGGTTTTGTATCGCTGCTTAAAAGGAATAGTTCAACATTTTGGGCAATATGCTTATTTGTTTGCATTCAGAGTTAGATGAGAATATCTATATCCATTCTAATGTTTGTATGCTATGTATGGGGCTGGCTTAGCTTAGCATTAAGAGTGGAAGTAGGGGGAAATGGCTTGTCTGGCTCTTTTTATGTCCTATTTGAGAGACATTTATCAGAACCAACCATCACTGTTGCCTCGATTCACCACATCAGGAGAAGGGCTGTGCTGCGAGCGGGAGCCAAAGGAGTCCAGACTGTCAAAAACAAAAGAAAAGCTTTTATTGTTTAACAATGTAAAATCACATGTGGGGCATTCACTTCAACGAATACACAGGTTTTGTGTCAACGGGACCAGTTTTGAAGTTTGAATTGGAGTTTCTGTATGTATGTATATAATGTAGTAAATATCAACCATTTAACTTCTCATCGGTAACCTGAAACACAACGGCTGTGTGCGCCAGCATATTTTGGTATGTATGTGTACTGACAGATGTCTCTCACCTGTCTAGGGAGTTGTCCCGAGTGTGTCGTGGTGGAGAGAGAGACTCACTCCTCTCAGAGTCCCAACAGTCGTAGCCGCTGTCTCTAACGCTGCGCTTCTGTGGACTCTCCCCTCCTTCCTCACTCTCCTACAAAACACACACATATGGGACACAACAACACATCATCCAGCAGGAAAATATATGGAAAAGTGTATAAAGTGGGAAAGATGAATGCAGAAGCTAATTTAAGAGACAATACATGGGTTGAGAGAGGAGAACTAAGTTTGCTCATTCTCTTGCATTAGAAACTTAGAAACACTTATTTGAGCAGATTTCCAATTGATCCAATAGATAAAATCTGCAGAGCCGATCTTATTTTCCAACTCATATCCTGTTTATCTTTTCTGTCTCTCCCTGAAATAAGAGTAGCTGTGGTGTAACAAAAACAAAAATGTGTTTGTCTCCTGTCTCGTGTGTCTCTCCTGCACCCCAACAAAGACAGGAAACTAACAAATCCATCCCCCACACCTCCTGCGTGCCGCTATCTGTCTTTCTGTCTGTCTCCTTCTCCTCCCCTTCCCTGCTCTGTCCTCTTGATTGTTCACTCACCACCTTCATTTGAGCAAGAAGCCCTTCAAACTCCTTCAGGTTGAGAGTGGGACCGCTGTAGGAGGCACAACCGCTGGCAGCCTTCCCAAGCCAGAACACTGTGTTCAGCACCTGAGAGACATCGATGGGGGGTTTATTGTATATTCATATTCATAGAAGATGAAGCAAGAAAAAAAAAAAGAAAGGCTAATAATTACTCACATTTTTAAGTTTACGGTTGCAGTCAGAGTCCCTGATGAGAGAGAGGTGAGTTACTATCATGTGATACTACATTAAAATGGACATGAACAGGAATAAATAAGCCACACACACACACACACACACACACACACACACGCCGATTTACTTGAGGTTAGCTCGTATGGAAGTGTCTTGTAGGTCCCCGGGGTCAAACAGCTGGGAGCCCTTCAGGCCCAACTCCTCACAGCCCCGCAGGAAGACTGACAGGTTGTCCTACAAGAGACAGCAGGGGACCACATACAGTCAGAGCTTTATCACTTTGACTAACAGGGTGGCTTACAGGGCTGAATGTCACACTGGAGAGTGTCTTCTTACCAGCCCAGCGATGGGGGTGGGCAGTCGGTTGATCTTCTTGACCAGCCCTGGTTTGATTGCACTCAGCAGCCTGCGTGGAGGAGGGGAGAAGCGGAGATTTATTGAGTCTTAGAGGAGTTTATGTATGTTGTTGCTACTTCAGACATCAAAAACTGAGTGGGAGTGATGTCACAAGCTTACTCGCATAACAGGATGCCGTTCTCCAATCCGCTGCGGAAGTCCTTGTCTCCAAAGCTCTTCCCCGTGACAGCCTGGAGAACGAGGACAGGAAGAGACAGATGTAAAGGAGGTGGACTAGAACTAAGGTTGCAACTAACAATCATCAATCAAGTTCCAGGGGCCAGGTCTTCAAATTGCTCAGTTTACAATGATACAAATCTAAGAAAAGAGTCGCATCCTCACACTGAGAAGGTAGAAGCAGAGAACACTTTTTTTTTTTCATTTTACTTGATAAATGACTTAAATTATTAGTTGAAAATGACAATTGCTGTTGGTTGATTTCCTGTCTAATTGCACCAACTGCAACCAATTCACTGTTTAAGACAAATAACCCAAATTTCATTCTTTTACTTTTCCCTATGGATCCAATACAATATATATCAGTGCCAATATACCAGTCTTATTGAGTAGATTGGGTATTGGGCATTACGTGACTGATCCACATTACAATGACATTACATGTTACAGTGGGCTACCAATTTACAGCAATTGCATGCAGATTGTAAGAAAACACTGGTACGAATCAGACTGGTGCCCAGTATCGGCAGAAACCCTGCGTTGAGGTATCAGTCGGAATTGGGAGAGAAAAGATTTGGAACTGGATGGATTTGAGACTTTAAAACTTATGTAATGCAATACTCAACAGAGCAAGTGAGAAAAAAACGCTGAGGGAATTAAAGACAGCATAGAGGAGAGACAGACATGCAGCGGAGAGAGTCTACTCATGATAGATTTAGGTAACATCTTAAACCCAATTATGCCATCGTAACACACCACATAAGCGTTGGGATTACATCAGATGCCACTACTACTATTGTGATGTCCACAAGATCTTGCTGTGGTCTTGGATTTCAGCCTCTTGCTTGCAAAACAGATCTTGAGCTGAAAGAAAATTCCTACATGAATAAATCTTAACCATCTATCTAATTAACAAACCACCGAAGTCCATCCATTTCATCCTCATAAAGCAATACACTCTGTTTTTGGCCCTGCTGCTCTTCTTATTGATGTCATGAGAAACAGAACAAAGCACTGTATGGACATCAATACAAAAAGATTAATATGATCTATTGATAAATTACCAAAAATGGATCATCGTCCATAACTGATTCATTATTTAAGTCAAATGTGAACATTTTTCTCCGTTGTGTAACAATGTAAATGGAATATTTTGGGGGTTTTGGAGCCGGACTAAAACAAGCACTTTGAGGTCATTTTTGGCTCCTGGTACTTGTGATCACTGTTTTCTGATTGTTTAAAGGAGTGCAGATGAATTTATTCATCAATAGATACATTTAATTTAGAAAAGTGCTTGAAGACTACTGCGTTGTGTCGCTGCTATTGGCTGGTTCACCCTTCCCCCAACATTTTGCTTCAGTAGAAACCAAATTAGAGTGACGCCAAGCCAGCGACACACTGCTCTGTGTCCTCATTACATTTTCCAAAAATGTGCCCACGCGCACGTCCCTGATTTAGATCCACACAGTCGTAGCCTGAGCGAGCCACAAAGATAACCTCAATCCTCCAACCTGGACTCCATCTATCCTGTGCAGGCAGGAGAGGAGGAGGGAATCAGGAAGCTAACAGTGACATAGTACCAGAACATCAACCCACACACACAAACACACACACACACACACACACACACACACACACACACACACACTGCTTTTAGGAGCTGTTGTGTAACCAGCAGCCAAAGATGAATGGAGAAGAAGAGAGGTTTGACTGTTTAGACGTCTAATCCAGATTAGCACAGATTACAGCTAGCACCCGAACTGTTAACTGCAGGCACACACTCTCTCTGCCTCTACTGCTCATATACAGTGTGTGCATCTTTACATCCATCCACACACAAAAAAACACACTTAATTTGAGCCACACATTGCAGTTTGTGTCCGTGACAGACTACAAACTCTTAATAATCTGAGCTCATGTAACTTGTACTGCAAAACATTTGAGTCCTTCTGGCTCTCTTCTTCTGTCTTTGTCTGCACCTTCTTTCTGCTGATATTTATGATTTATTTCTATGTTCATGTACAGCTCTGATGCACATGTACCATATGTACGAGGGGAATACACACACACACACACACACACACACACACACACACACACACACATGCTCAGTGCATCTGCAGCTATGAAAACAGCCTATTGTTTTTTGTTATATAAGTGATGACCAGATGTTTCCTATTGGCATCCCTTTCTTTTTCTTGTCTTTCATCATTCTGTTGTGTCACACACACACACACACACACACACTCACACACACTGGCATGCGTCGTGTTTATTAAGGTTTGACTCCAGGTCTTTGAAACATTTACAGCATGGTCATGTATAATTCACACCAAGAGGAGTTTTGTATTGAGGGAGAGCAGGACAACTGTGTTTTGTGTAGGTAGTGCGTGTGTGTGTGTGTGTGTGTGTGTGTGTGTGTGTGTGTGTGTGCGTGGGATAAAGGACACAGACAGTGGGCTTGGGATGAAGGTGGTAACGTTTAGTTATGTCTGAAATGCTGAAACTGAAATACAGCAATCACACACAGATACAGGTTTTAGAAAAACAGAGAGTTGTGTGTGTGCGTTAAAAAGAAAGACAGGGTGTGTATATGTGAGCTAAGTGAGCATTCATGTCTCCTACAAAAACCAAGCCAAAGGCTGTGGGGGTATTTCAGCGCCAGCAACAGTAATTTGACCCTCCCTCGCTTCCTCACAGTCTCCTCGTGGTGGATTGCTCTGCTCAGTCTGGGTGAATGGCAGCAGCAGCTACCATTTAAACCCTGAGGTGAGACTGCGTGTCGGGGGCAGAGGAGAAGCAGAAGTAGGCCAAAGTACCCTTTACTTTTATTTCAACAACTGTAAAAAGATGGAAAGAATGAGAGGCTAGAAAATATGGAAAGCAGAGGAGAAGAAATATGCACTTAATCAAGTTAGTGGGGTTATTTGTAATGGGGAAATCATGTGCTGTGATGCATTAAAGTGACAAAAGCCAGGATTTTGCAGGCCCAGACTGAAGTGACAATATGGGACACATCAGTACCATTTGATGCATGGAGCAAAAGCATCTGTTCAAAATAATAAAAGAAAGTTGTTAAACAAAGATTCCTCTAACCTGAGGCAGCCGCCAGAAATTACATATCTGCTTCTGGTTTTTTAATCACAAGAAAAATATAGTGGGGTTACTTAAAATATAAAATAACAAATCAGTATTAAGAAATCTTCTGGCTCACATTGTGCAAATGGAACATATATTATTTACTGCTTCTGTCTACGTTTGGATTAGGAAACAGAGTTGCAACTTGGGAAATGAGCTTAAAATTGCTGTAACTATAAAGCAGACAGTAACGATAAGTGTAATGTTGATGACACAAAGCTGAGCCATGCTGAACTGCCCATGTGCTTCCAGTAAAGCCAGTTGATGGAGATTTAGAGGGTTAGAGACCGAGTGAGCACAGACCACTTAGAGAGTGGCTGGTGTTTTAATTTGTGGTGTTGCAGAAGCATTAGCGTTGTTATAATGGTATCATGTGCTGTGGGCACTTTGTACACTAATAGTCATGTGGCATGCAGAGATAGAGAGAAGACAACAAAGAGAGAAAAAGATGAGAAAGGAGGGAGAAAGGCTGAGAGATAAAGACATAATCCAGATTGAGGAGGAGTTTAATCTGGATCAAAGTAATTAACCAGAGTGATTCGACACCAGACACAGACAGACGCTTCAGATGCTGACAATTGATATCTGTTTAATATGAGGAACAAAAGCACTTCCTCTTGTGTACTACATAGAAAATGTATCTGTAATATACTTTTTCATCACAGTCAAATAAGTAGTACACTAAAATTGAATTTACAGTGATATATGATTAGGCACTATCTATCGAAACAGACAAAATGGTGATATTTTAATTAACACTGACATTTCACTCTGCACTGTATATAAAAGTAGTTATCTATCTAGTAGTTATCTTAATATATTTAAAGCTGCTTTCATTTGTTATTAAAGCTGAATTTTATCAGTTTATCTATATTAGTGTTCAACATCTGAACTTTTGTACCAGTCAATTAGATTTAAGTCCAAAACGACAAAATTAGGTTAGATTATTTCCCTCACTATTAAGTTTGTTTAGTCTACTTTGCATCCTATATGCAGTTTCATTTAGTGCACTAATGTCAAAGTTGACACACTATAAACTAATTTTGGTTGAAAAATCTGCAGAATGCTAGTCAGAGCGATCATATGTCAAGATACAGCACATACTATTATAACTAACCTTTCTGAAAGTTATTTGCAGCCACGTTCAGTTTTGTCTGCGACCATCCTGGCTTTACAAAACCTTTGAAAACCACTTAGGCATGCCAACAGCAAGTCTGTGTCATCATTACTTCACATACTTTCACAACAGCATTTGATGCATGGCAAATCCATGAATCCCCGCTCTCACACTCTCTCCCTCACTCTCATGCAGACACAGCTGGCTGTCTGAGACCATTGGAGTTAATCTGCCTAGGACAGCTGTGACATCTGGCACACACACACACACACACACACACACACACACACACACACACTTGTTCAGTCACACATTCTTACGTTTACTCCCTGTGTGACAGACCTTAACTCTTGCCATGTACTGTATGTCGGTGACAGCAGAGGTCAACTGCTGTCACCAAAGTTAGCTTTGTGTTTCTCTAAGTTTGTATAACTTTAACCTGCTCAATGTCACATCCAACAGGTTTAAAGCACCTTTGACAGTGTGTATCAGCTCTGAGACGGTGTAATCCAGCCTTGTCTCGTCTATAAACAGATAGAAAGGTCTTGTCTGTGCCAGTCTAATTTCCTGCTTGGGTCATATGGTGATATATAGCCTACTGCTCTACTGCCCCCCCTGGAAACAGTGACACCTGAGAGCCTGCCCATGTTGTGTTCCCATAGTGACCAGTGTCACCCAATCGGGGCGTGTCTGTGGCGTGTGTGAGCAGTATCATGCATAGCTAAATTGGCATGTGTGTGTGTGTATGTGTGTGTGCATACGCTTTGCATATTCTTACAGAAATGGCAAACACACACACACTGACTGAAAATGCTGCGTGGAGCGTAGGGTTGCATGGTCAACCTTGAATCATCCCCACCGGTGAGAGTGTGTAAATACACCACTAGAAATAGAGTCAGCCCGAGAAAGTAAAAATAAATGGAGAATTAGGAGGCAGGAAGACGACAAAGCGAGAGGAACGCGGAGCAAAGACACTGCAGGAGTGATTAAGACGACAGCATTTACCTAGATTGGAGGGTTTGTGCTGATATTAATAAACAACCACTGGCTTTTTAAGTGCCGATCAACGGGTCCATTGCATTGGGTATCAAAGTTAAGTGGATTACAGTAAGGTGAACTTCAGGGATGTGCTGAGGTCAACGGCACTGACTGACTTAGAAATAAGTTTGACTTATACTTTCAAGGGCAAAAATAGAGATTTAAATATATTGTACTTCTGAAAAATTATTTATTTATCTGATGTTCTTAGTGATGTGCATGTGAATCAACCAGAAACAACCTCAGACACCATTAACACCATGATGAAATAAAAAGTCAGCAAAAAAAAAACATTTGTGAAATAACTGATTATATGTTTAATTGTGTATTATATGTTTAAAACGGCAAAAATGGACATGTCAGGTCAGATTTGTGTCTTGTTTACGTATTCTATGATCAGATATTTCCCGATATAAATCATACCGTTGTTAATTTTAGTCTTCTTGTACTTATTATCTTGCCATATTTTGTTAAAGGGGTTTGTGATAACATTTTACAGTCCTCAAATAATGGTACTGAGAAAGTATTATATTGTATTGTATTGTTACCTGTATAACTGTGATTTTGGTGGAAGATTGTCTCTGTATATTAACGTCCCTACAGCCACCTAAATAGGGCATCACCCTCTACGGAAATAGACATTTTATAAATGCTGATAAGTTTGATTTTTCTTGAACTGTATGTGGGACACTGACAGAGCTGAACTGGGTGGATGGGAGACGAATGATCTACTTCTGTGGTCTCTGAAAGTCTAAAAGTAATCATAGAGGAAAGACGTGGCCCCGGGCGAACCATTTAACTTTGAGAGACAGACAGAGAGATCGACACTAAAATGTAACTGGAAAAAGGACTAACTTTTGATTTAAGGCATTTGGCAGTTTTGACATTTGAGGCAGTCACTATAGAAACTATAAAACTTTCTCAGGTTGTGTGCATCCCAACCTTTTCGGCTTGTGACCCCTTAAAACAAAACACTCTACTTGCCACCCCTCACCAGTGGATTCATATGATTGAGACCAGTTCAGCCAAAAGTATTTTATTCCTTGTCATGTTCAAATTTTTTCTAGAGGCATTTTGCTGTTCTGTTTATGATTTTAACCATTTATTTGGCGTTTCTTGTGTCCTAATCCCCAAGTTGGAAACCACTCTGATAAACAGTAACATGTTTAATCGTATCAGCAGTATGTACGGATTCAGAGCTCATTCAAATATCTACTTTAGTGCGTTGTTGGCTGTTTAACATTACTGACAACTTCTCCTTGGCAAAGAAATGTTTGTTAAATTAGTGGTTCCCAACCTGGGGGTCGTGACCCCCACTAGGGGACATAGGACAATGAACATAAAACAATGGCCAAGTGTCAGAGACAAGAAAACACTGAATTTGTAAGAAGTCCTTTAACTGTGTTTAACTATTAACTAACAGGAAGTGTTTGGGTTCATTGTACAGTTTTGAATATAATATGAAATATCCATAAAATATGTCACTGAGTCAGGGGTTTACTGAATGATATGAAACGGAGTCGTTTGAGGAAAAAGATTGATAAATAATCCATCTTAAGTCTATTCTGTGTGATTGTTTGCTCTTTTTTGCATGTTTTCATCTTAATCTTATATTATACTAAGTTTTTGGCATATAAATCTATCCAGCCATCTTTTTTTCTACCTTCCACACAGCCAGTAGTAAAACCCACCCTGTGAAAACACAGCCAAGGTGTGAAGTGAAAGGCAAAGCAATTAGATAAAAGTAAAAATTTTATGTTAACTTCCAAACCTATTTTTTCTTTACCCGACCTGAGATTGTAGTTGGCAGGTAGCTACAGGCTGAAAGTGGTGGCCAAGCAACCGGGATGGAAGGAGAGAAAATAGGTCATAACGCAGCTCATGATTCACCACTCAGGCTTATAGTGAGAGGCGGTTTTTTTTTTTTTTTTTAGCCGACCAGATGATGGTGGAAGCGATGCAGCAAACCATAAATGATAATCTCATCCGATGCGATCAACTCGCTGGTCCAGTGTTAGAGCCACAGCATCTCGTGCGTGAATGCTGGCCCGGTTTCATAACCATGGCAACAGGAATCCCCTCGCGCCTGAGCAAGAAAAAAAAGGGGGGCGTTGCTGGGCAGCAAGTAAGAAAACGGACTCTTCGTCGTTTACTAAAACAACAAACGGTAAATTAACCGACTAACGTTAGTTTGAGGGATTTACTTTATGTTTCGTGCTTGGTTGGTCGGTGAAAGTCGACCACGATTCCGGTGCGGGTGTTACATTCACAGTGGGAGCCACACACACACAAAAAAAACTTTTAACAATGTTGTTAAACACACACGCAGCATGCGGAGCCGTTGTCCCACACGGTAACCCGACACTGCATCGTCCCCACAACAGGTGACGGTGCACCGGTGCTCGGGTATTTATATCCCAGTGTGTGACACTATGGCCCATTTCTGTCCCGCTGTGCTGTAGCAGGAGCTCCCACCTCCCCCTCTTCCCCGAGCCTCTTCTGAACGGTCACTAACCTCTATCCATTTCTGAGCCTCCTGACAGGCTGGTTCGGGATGGTTCGGCTCCGGCCGCACCGAGTCGTCCCGCGGCGGGGCATTCGGGACATCTCGACCTCCTGCGGGGCTAGCCATCTCCAGGCAGGCCGTTTAACGAGGACCAGAGAGAGTCTGTCGGACGGTGATGATACGTGATCGGTGCGGTGTTGTCTCTCTCCCCCCCTCCCCGCTCCGTCAGTCCGTTATCCTCCTCCGCTCTCAACGGTCAACCGCCCCGCAACTCCTCGCGCTCGTCAGTGCGTTGCGTTAGCGTTCCTTGTGCACCCCCCGCGAGCCCTGCTCACACTGTGTGTGTCACAGAGATGGACACTCTCTCTCGCGACCCCGACGCTGCAACACGAACCACGCGCTAAAAATAACGATTCTTGAACGCCGCCGGACTGCGCGAGGCTGACGCTGCTGCCGCGCACAGACGTGAACGCGCAGACAGGAATCTGAGCGGGGGAGGTCGAGAGAGATAGAGAGAGAGAGAGAGAGATAGAAAGAGAGAGAGAGAGAAAGAGAGAGATAGAAAGAGATTTTGATTTTTGAACAATACTTTATTTACATTTAACTAACTGTAACAAACAGTTCCACAATCAATAGATCAGTTGAGGAAGGATGTGAACTTTAACTCTCCACCGGTCACCCGGCACAACAGCTCCTCATGAGCCCACTGCTGCTCAAACACATCTGTATTCCCTGTGACCCTGTGGAAGCAAAACTCCAGCCTCAGTCTGGCCTTCACATTGTACCTCCACAGGGTCACAGGGTCAAGGGTCGGCCCACCCTGCAGTCTGTCCCTACGAGTCAGGTATATCGACATTTTAGCCTCACCAATTAAAAAGTTTAGGAGTCGACACTTTACTTTTTCTGTTTTTTTAAAACCAACTCCACAAATAAAAACAGGGGCAGTAAAAATGACACCAAATAGATTAAAAACACGAGTTAAAACGTTAAAAATGTCTGCCAATCTCCTGCACTCAGTAAAAACATGGAAAATGTTCTCAGTCAGTCCACAGAATGGGCACTCCTTTACAACACTGTGATTAAGAACAGATAAAAAGGCATTGGTGGCAATGGCACCATGTAAAATCCTCCACTGGAGATCTCCAGTTCTTTTTTTTAGAGGAGGTTTGTATAATGTTCTCCACTGGGGGCTCAGCCCACCCAGCCTCTCAGTCCACACACACTGCGCTCTGTCACACAGGCGAGTTTTGTGGATAGTTTTTACACAGTTTGTGTACAGAGTTTTTTTGTCAGTCTTGTGTAGGCTCAATGTACTCCCATCATTGTGTCTCAGGAGGGGGCCGCTGAGCTCTGTGAAACCAGGGCACAAGTAGATCTCGGGATAAGGGTCTGTGGGGTCCGGCTCAGCCTCTCCCCTGCCGTATTTGAGGAGAAGGATTCTCTCCTTCTCCGTCAGCCTCCTCCTCCAGAGCTCTAGGCTCCTCTGCGTCAGCCGGACAGAGCGCACCCCCAGCACAGAGCCCAGAGAGTGGACATCTGTGAGCTCTGGTCCTGCTGCATCTATCAGTTGTTTGAGGCAGACAACTCTTGAGCTGCACAGCACCCCCATCAGCCCAGGCACAGTGCTGCAGCACACGTCCATCTTTGCACCACAGATTATAGGCTCCTTTAATAACCAGTGCAGAGAGTTACACTTCTCACTTCTTTTACATTTAAAAAGCCCCCAGGATTTAAAAACACCCTGATAAAAAGGAGGCAACCCACCTAACTTTAAGAATTTAAAATCAGTTAAAAACAGAGCAGCATCCAGCCCCAGGTTATTGACACGCCTGAGTATGCAGCTGGCCACGTCTCTCCACACCAGATCTTCAGGTCCAGTCAGATACTTTTGAATGAACTGGAGCCTGAAGGTGGCTGTCCTGCTAGCCAGGTGGACCAGGCCCTGGCCCCCCTCATCTCTGGATAAAAACAATACAGACTGTGGTATCCAGTGCAATTTGTTCCAGAAGAAATTGACAATCTTCACCTGGATCTGGGCAATGAGACCTGTTGGAGGGTCCAGACAAGCTAACCGGTGCCATAACATGGAGGCCACCAGATTGTTTAAAATTAGGACCCTCCCTCTAAAAGATATTTGTGGGTGAAGCCACCTCCACTTAGCCAGTTTGTTATCTACTGTTTCTAAAATGTTTTCCCAGTTTTTTTTTCCAATGTCGCTGTTCCCAAGATAAATACCGAGATACTTTAAGCCTTCTCTTCTCCATATCAGGCTTTGAGGGAGAACAGGGAGGCCCTCCCGCCATTCACCAACAGCAAGAGCCTCGCTCTTCCTCCAGTTCACCCTCGCAGCCGACACTACAGAAAACTTCTCGATTACAGAATTTAAAACACACACATCCTGTTGATCTTTGATAAAAACAACGACATCGTCAGCATAAGCAGATAAAACAACACAACTGTTAAAACCAGGTAAAAACAGGCCTCTAACAGATGATCTTATCTTTTGTAGGAGGGGTTCCAGGGAGAGTGCATAGAGCATCCCAGACAGGGCACAGCCCTGTCGGACGCCTCTATGCACTCTAAAAGGAGCACACAAGCCACCATTAAACTTTAGCACACTCTCAATGTCACTGTACAACACCTTGATCTTGGCTATGAGACCAGCGCTGAACCCAAACCTCTCCATGACCTTCCAAAGGAAGTCGTGTTCAACGCGGTCAAAAGCCTTTTCTTGATCTAATGAGATCAATCCAGTGTTTATGCCTAATGAACTGGAGACCTCCAAAACATCCCGAATGAGGTAGATATTATCTACCATAGACCTGCCGGGCACACAGTACGTCTGGTCCCGGTGGAGAATCTGCTCCATGGTTCCTTTCAGCCTATTGGCCAGGACTTTGGACAGTATTTTGTAGTCAGTGCAGAGGAGAGAGACAGGACGCCAGTTTCTGATTTCTTGCAAATTGCCTTTCTTGGGCAAGAGGGTAATTACGGCTCTCCGACATGAGAGTGGCATTGACCCAGACACCAGGCTCTCATTAAAAACATCTATGAGGTCATGGGCCAAGATGTCCCAGAAGGCTTTGTAGAACTCTACAGTGAGGCCGTCGATGCCTGGAGCCTTTCGTCCCTGCATGCTCTGCAGTGCCGCGTAGAGCTCTTGTGGAGTCAGTGGGCTGTCGAGCTGCTGGTTAGCCTCTCTAGACACCTGAGGAAGTCCACCACAGACCTCCTCCATCAGTTCTTCGTTCTCCTTGAACTCACTCTCAAACAATGAGGCGTAAAACTCCACAGCTCTTTGCCTTATCAGGCCTGGCTCTGTCAGCTCTTGCCCTGTCTCAGAGAGCAGAGAGTGAATTTGTCTCCTCTGCCCTTGTTTCTTCTCAAGCCCAAAGAAGAAACTCGATGGAGCATCCATCTCCGTGATGTTTTGAACCCGGGACCGGACCAGCGCACCCTGTACTTTAGTGTCCAGCAGGTTGGCTAAAGCCATCTTTTTAGTCTTGAGGATTTCAATATATCCTCGATTTCCTGTGGACTCACTTGTACACTCGAGATCCACAATATCAGTCTCCAGATCTCTGATAGATCTGGTGATGTCGCGTGTGACATTGAGCGTGTGCTGCTGACATAAAAGTTTAATTTGAACCTTCCCATGGTCCCACCACTGCCTCAGACTGACAAACTCGTTTTTTTTCTGTTTAAAATCATTCCAAAAATAACTTAAAGCCTCCTTGAAAGATTTATCAACAGTTAAAACAGAGTTAAAATGCCAATAGGCACTTTTGGGTAAAATGTTTCTGATAAAAACATTACATAAAACCAAAGAATGATCAGTAAAACCAACTGGTAAAATCTTACACATTTTAACAACACTGACTCTGTGCTTAAAAACATAAAAACGATCAAGTCTGGCCAAAGAGATTCTGTTTTCTCTAACGTGGGACCATGTGTACTGTCTGCAGCCTGTGTGCATCCTTCTCCACACGTCCACCAGGCCATGGGAGGAGACCAGCTGCCTCAAGGCATGCTGGGATACTGGATGAGGCTCTGCATGGTTGCGATCTAAAATCTCATTTTCAGTACAATTAAAATCCCCACCCACAAATAAATAATCCTCCGGGCCACAGCTGTTTAAAATATCATTCATATTTTCAAAGAAGTGTTTCCTCTCTGCACCGTTGTTTGGAGCATAAATGTTGATAAAAACCACATTAAAATGTTCAAAACGAGCTCTGACTGAAAGACACCTCCCCTCCACAACATGCCTGACCTCCAGAGAGGTTGGAGTAAAACCTCTGGAGAACAGGAAGCCCACTCCTCCACTGAGGGTGGTGTTATGGCTTAAAATCAGTTCTCCTTCCCATTCTCTGCTCCAGTCTGCCTCGTTTCCAACATCACTGTGAGTTTCTTGTAGAAACAGAACATCAATATGTTTCATTTTAGCCGTTTCAAACACTACTGCTCTCTTTCTTGTTTCTCTGGCACCATTGACATTCAGACTGCCTACTTTAAAAACA